GTATTAGTGTGCAATAAATCCATTCACCAATCCAAAACCCATCTGCAGTCACTCCATTAATTGTGATAATATGTTAATTTGTGCTACCACAAATCTTTCATGATTACATTTGTATTTCTGGATGTACCTGCCTTCATTAAATACTCCCCAGAAACAAAGACTACACCCACTGAGATACTCTGATTTGGAGACAATATTCTAACTAATAAATAATTTTTTATGTTATTTTCTTAGAAGTTCACATGCTCGTTCCATAAAAATATATATTCACTACACATCAAGTAATAACAACACAAACTAAAAATGTTGCNTGAGATACTCTGATTTGGAGACAATATTGTGACAAATAATTTTTCCTGTTATTTTCTTAGAAGTTCACATGCTCGTTCTGTAAAAATATATATTCACTACACATCAAGGAATAACAATACAAACTAAAAATGTTGCTCATAACGTTTGAAACAACAAAAATTTTATTTCCTAAAATCCACAGTTTTTTTTTAATAAACACAAAAACAAATATAAATTGTTACTGAAAGTGAGGTAAGATAAATTAAGTTTGTGCTTGTTATTACTAGCACAAAAACTGTTCTTTCATTCTGTTTTCACACACCTAAAGATAAAATGTATGCTACAGTTATTTGCCTGTTGTATTGTCTTGTATAAATTAAAATTATATGCAAAGAAATTACAAAATATGTATATTTAATGAAGATGAAATATTGACAGACTTTGTGTTTTCAATGGAGGTTTTGGTATTTGTATCATGTTTTAGGGAAGTGCCATATCTCAAGTTGATATTTGCCACGCACTGTGTCGGCCTGGGTTCGGTCCTGGAGATCATGTGGGATTTGTGATGGAAAAGTGGCACTGAATAGATTTCTCCTGTAAATTCTCATTCCACCAACTGCTCCAGATTCATAAATCATCCCATTATATGATTTTATATAGGCATGACACTGTCAGTGCCATTAGATAACCAACATCAAGGATGTTGCTTCAGGCCAACATGTATTTCAGAGAGAGGACCAAGAGGGATAACAAAAAATTGTGTTTGAACATAACTTTTAAAATTGTTACTTAAAATAATGACAGAGTTGACAAATCAATATTGCAACAATGAAAAGTTTAATGTTGAAAATGGAATGCAGTGCTGTAGTGTGTGTCAAATTGGCACAAGATTTGTTACAATTGCAGAACTTTTTATTCTCGTTCTATGACCAGAGAGTAACAAACTTAAATATAAATATTTAACCCTGATATTTTTAATGTTGCATGTCTGAGAGAATTTATTCACAGTTGTCAGAAAAAATGTCCTTTTTGCAGGAATTATTCCCTGGATCAAAGTACAAATTTGTGAATGAGAATGATGTGTACAAATTAATCATTAGTAATCCCAAGGTGGAAGATACTGGAAAGTACACAATTGAGATTGCTGGAATAGCTTGCACAGCTTACCTAGATGTAGATGGTAAGTCAGTTTTGGTCCTCTTTGAAAACTGAAACTTATTGAATGTTAACTGGGAAGTAAATTTGTCCTGGTACCACTCCACTCAACTTCTATCTCATGACTTAATATGATTTCTTTAGTTAGAATTCTTATGCTGATGCCTTTTATTCATTAAAATCAATACTACTCTGCCCAAAAAGTATTTGACCTTGGGCTGGGAAAACAAAGTTCTGTATCTTGGTGGTTACAGTACCTAATCCCCTTCAAAGTATGCCCCTTATGACTCCACACACCTAGCTCAGCAGTCCTTCCATCGCCGGAAGCAATTCTGGAAGACTTCTTTTGGAATGGCATGCAGCTGTGCCATCACGTTCTGTATGATGTCCTCTTGGCTGTCAAAACAGGAACCTTTTAGCAGTGTCTTCAGTCTCGGGAACAGCCAGAACTCACAAGGAACCATGTCAGGAGAGTAGGAAGCCTGGCAAACCTGCAGAATGCCATGCTTGGCCAGGAAACCCTGGATCAGGTGTGATGAATGAGCTGGGGCGATGTCATGATACAGCTGCCAGTTGCGTGAGTCTCACAGCTCCAGTCTCTTGCACCGAACTGCATCACGAAGATGGCAGAGGACTCCTTGGTAGTATTCCTTATTGACAGTTTGGCCTAGTGGTGCATACTCATGATGCACAACACTCCAGTAACTGAAAGAACAGTCAGTATCACCTTCACAATGCTCCAAACCTGTTGTGCTTTTTTAGGCCTTGGGGATGTTTGATTCTTCCATTGTAACACCTGGACCTTGGTTTCTGGGTCATATCCATACACCCACAACTCTTCACCAGGGACCACAGTCTTCAGGAACTCAGGGTCCCTGTTGGCACATTCCAGCATGTCCTGTGCAACCTCAAGGCGGAGTTGTTGCTGCTGCGGCAAAAGCAGCTTGGGCACAAATTTTGCTGCCATTCTTCGTATGCCAAAATCCTCAGTTACAATTGTGTTTGCGGAACCTCTGCTGATCCCAACCTCATCAGCAACTTCCTGGATGGTCAAACGATGGGCCTCCATGATCAATGTCTGCACTTTTTCAATGACATCAGCATTTCGACTCATTGACGGTCTCCTGGAATGCTGGTTACTGTCCGCCGACATATGGCCATCTTTAAAGTTGTTGAACCACTCTTTAACTTGAATGACCCCCATTGCACCATCGCCAAAAGCCTGCTGAATTTTGCGGATTGTTTCCGCTTGGATATCCCCAAGTTTCTGACAAAACTTGATGCAGTATGACTGTTCCAAGTATTCTGTCATCTTGAGTGAAACAAGAATGCCACAAACACATGTTACACCACTTCACTATCTGGCAGCCACAGATGCATCCGGTGGTGTTGCGAGTCAGCAAAAAATCATGCATGCGCATGAAGTCCCTTCTACCACTATGCTTAGTTTCCCCATCACTTTGGCCATTATAAAGTCAGATACTTTTTGGACAGCAATGTATTTTTCCTTCTTACAAAACCCACTACGGAAGGCTCAAAGCCAGTAGCAGCTAGTTCTTGAATGAACAATGAAAAATATGCTCTTAAAAACGTAATAAACTGGGATTAATATGTTGCAGCTTTAGTAATATTTTAGTTTCAAAACTCTGAAGTTAAAAATGCCAGTGCCTGATACTCTCTGTTTGTATAGAATCTGATGCAGTTTATTCATTCACCAAACCTTTGAGTAAGAAGACTGATGGCTTCACAAAGCATGAAACACTAATGGAATGTACTGTGAACAGCAGTATGGCAATGGTATCTTGGTGGAGAGGAGATAAAAAGATTTCGGTATGTAAAACACTTATACAATTTCAGTCATAAATTCTTTGCCTTCTGATAACAGCATCAATATCTGTTCAATTTAATTCCATTACATTTGTGTTGAAACAAGTGGACAATATTCATGTCCTGAATGTCATTCCTTTATGGAAAATATATGCAAATTGACACAAGGGTTTTAATTATGAACTATGCATTCATTCAGTTTACACAATCATTTTAAATTACATCCTGAAATTAAAAGAAGTACATTGTGGGATACATACATTTAAAATACCTTGAATCTGAAATTATAACATCTATTTTATGTGTATTAATTCATTACAATGGACTTCAATACAAATTCACAATTCTTTTTCTTTTGTTACATAGGATGATGATAAGTATGAAACTGCCAAGGAAATGTCTGGTATTTGTCGACTAACAATTAAGGACTGTGAAATTGAAGATAGCGGTGAATATAGTTGTAGAATTGAGAAGCAAGAAGACAAAACCACAACATTAGTTACAATTATTGGTAAGTAACATAATATGTATGCACCATTGTAAGCCTGTGAGATAAATGTAGAACATTTGGTCTTTCTTTCTGGCATTGTGATGTATCAGGTAGAGAGTGTAACAGGATATTGTGTACTGGAATTTCCTCATATTTCTAATTTTAATGCTTGAAAAAAGACATAAATTCCATTTGCAGATGCCTATTTTCCTTCATCACATTGAGCACAAAAAAATATATTCCATAACATATTTTAGCTTAGTGTACAGTACAAAGGAAAATACTGTGACAATTTTTATTATAAAGAGTGCAGTCAAAGTTGCTGGAAAAATTTATTTCTACAAATAATTTAACTTAATTCTCTTAATGTTTTCACTGCAATCCTGAGTACTTTTTGTCATTAAATTTTTTCCTAAACCATTGTCATAATTTTCCTTCATATTTATTACAAAAATATTATGATCATCATCGCCATTGTCATCAACATCATCATTGTTGTCGTCATCATTATCATTGTTGTTGTCATTTAGAAATTTCGTAGAACAGTTTGAAGCAGTCACCAGTAACTGCTATTGCATAAACAGTAGCTGATTATTGTAATCTGGGTGGACAATGCCTGAGGTGAAACAAAGTATTTTAGATGTACTTCGATTTTATTGCTTCCAAGTGGTTTGCATTATGAAATACCCAGTGCCCAGAAATCATCAACACAAGCGCCAGAGAACAGACTGTGCCATCAGGAAACAAACCATGTCATATCACTGGCGTTGATTGTATTAAGTATGAAAATGCTGTTGTTGAAGCAAATTCTGTGCTGTATGGTTTTTATTCTGCATTAGCGCATGATGCAGTCATAAAGAAAATGGTAGATGAAACAAACAATTATTGAACTCACATATTATCACAGTCCATAGATATTGCTCAGTATTTCAGATGCCAGTAGTGAAAATCAGCTGCAAGAGAAGTCTTGGTCCTTGGTTTTACTACATGAAGGAATCTAGTTTATTATCTGAGCATGGCTGTCTGTTGGAATACCAATTTTCTGTAAAAAAAAATTAAGTGGTTTCACATTTTGAATTAGTTCCACAGATGCAGCACTTCTGGTAGACTCTACAAAGTACAGAAACACTAGGTTTCAATAGATGCTCCTCCTGAGGAAAACTGTTTTTGTAGATGAGACACTAGTCCCTTTAGTGGGTTATCTCATACTGAAATAATGCATACACCAAAAGGCCCACAAATGAGGCATCAGACTTCTTGAAAAATTACAGTGGTAACTGTTATATACAGGGAATTCCACTGTCTCTTCAGGGAAGGAAACAGATCTATCACTACTAGAGTGGTAATGACATTGTCTCATACATCGCTTGGTTTACAGACAGACGTTATAACTGTCATTTAATACATATGTTTACCATTTAAACATAAATCATTAGATATACTACTCATCTTCTTGGAGCACTGCAGTCTAACAGAAGATGTAATCCACCACAGGTCGTACACACAGAAATTAAGAAAGGAGAAATTATAGCTGCCAAAAATATGAAGAGAATTTTTGTTGTTAAGGGGTATGAAAATTTGGAGGTTCTAATCCTGAATGTCTGATACTACAGTGAGACTCTTGAGATTAGAAAGATTCAGAATATTATTTTGAAACCTGAAGAAGTTATTAATTACATAATGAAAAACATCAGTTTATTCCACAGAAAAAATATGGAATCAGTGAGACATATGCTGCTTTTACACTGATGTGAATTATCATCAATGCATATACTTTTCACAGTGCTCAAAAGGCACAGAAGACACACTCCTTAAAATGTTGCACATCCTCAACAATGCATGGTGGTGACATGAAAATATATCCAAGTGTTACAACGCAGACATTTATGGCTGCCATGCCAATGAACGTATTAATGTATTCTTGGTTATTTACTATCAAGGAATGCATATGGAAATATTGATTCATTGTAAATATTTTGCAATTTATATGGACTTCTCCCTAGAGTAGTTAAAAGACATTTGCCTGTTCAAATAATCCCTGTGGGTATGAAACTCAAAGGTTCATGTCAACTTTTACAGAAACCTATGACTTTATACCACCACCTCCTCCTTCCCCCTTCCCTTCCCCCCTCCTTTAAAATGGTCCTTTCCGGTATGTTTTTCAGTCAAAGTCTTATAAGTACTTCATTTTTCAGCCATATCCTATTACAGTAAGCACCCCATTATCTGGCATGTGTGGGGAATGAGGTCTGCCAGTTACATGAATCTCTTGTCTGCATGAGAAGAACTCTTACAGAAACCTAGTACAAAGCCAGCATATTTTCACTATAGTTATTGCATGGTAGTCTTCTATGTGATGCAATGGATATATGGCTGAAAGATTTCAGATCATGTACTGTAATGTGATCACAAATTCAATTAGCCTCTATTTTAATGGTCCTTGCATAGTGTTAGTGGTAGCTGAGGAAACCACCATGTAGTGGGTAGCCATGTGCTTGTCGCAAATTTGTTTTTGAATAGCTGTATAAAAATGGTAGGTTTTCTTTCAAAATTTTGCTGTTTTGATGAGAATTCTGGATGCTTGCATACTGGATAATTGGGAGTTACTGTAAACCTCTTTCATTTAACAGTCCTAATAATGACAGACAAAGGTGACAAATTAAGAAGTTCTTCTTATGGGATTTTCCTTTTTTTTGACCTTTAAATTATATACCTTGGAGTCAAATGTGCTCCTCAGTGCTATGATTAAAATTATCTTCAATTTTTTTTCTTCCTTCAGAATGAGACATGAAGCTGTCAATGCATATAAAGTAAGATTTTGAATTGTATTTTTTTACAGTTTGCAGAATTTAGTCATGTATAAAATAATGTATTTATCAATATTTATGATGATACTGTACCATTATAATGAATGTAATGGCATTATTTTTTAACATAGCAAACAATTCCTTTTTCAGAGTATCCATACAAATTTGTGAAAATCCTAAAGAGTCAACAGGTAACAGAAAAAGATCAAATAACCCTACTGTGTGAGCTAGATGATGCAGGAGGTGAAGTAACATGGCATAAGAACAATGAACCAGTGAAACCTGACAAGAGGTTAGTTTCAGACATCAACAAGTTAATGCCATTATATTCCAGTCTGTCACATCTATAAGAGATCAGAAAAAAACATACATCTATAGGACTACATACACACACACACACACACACACATATATATATATATATATTGTCACGTGTTGGGTATATGTCACACGACAAATAACTTCACGCTGTCTTTGATCTAGTGAATTTATTCACTCGCTCTTACAATTACACAATTTACAACTTCACAAGTACTGCCATTGGCAGTANATATATTGTCACGTGTTGGGTATATGTCACGCGACAAATAACTTCACGCTGTCTTTGATCTAGTGAATTTATTCCACTCGCTCTTACAGTTACACAATTTACAACTTCACAAGTACTGCCAATGGCAGTATCACAAATACTTCTCCTCTTTCCATTCACTCCAGCGAATGCTAGACTGCAACTGACTGGTTACTCCCTCTCACTAACTAATACTCCTGTTATGTAGCTTCTGCACTGACAACACAGAAAACAGTTATGTGATAGCTTTTACTGTTGTGTGACGTCATGTTTACCGATTGCCTAGTAACAGTCGCTGCACGGGCTCCCCTGTTGCGTGACGCCTTGTTTACAAAGGCGTTGCTGGGCAATGCTACCGAGAGTTGTTTATTGCTGCATAGCAACCAGCGCGCTTTGGCTCAGCTCACTTTGGCTCTACTCGGCACGGCACTGAGAAACACCACTTTCTTTACTGTTGCGTAACCTCGTTTCCACTGTTCCGTAACTTGGCAACCGACTGTTTATCAAGGGTCTGTCTTCGTGGTAACTCATTCCACCTCCCATTGCCCAGAAACGGTTAGACATGTCACAATATATATATATATATATATATATATGAATACATACACACTTATATACAAAGAAAAACAAATTCCATATAAAATAAGTTTGAAACCACAGTAGTCACATTTCTTCCTAAACATCTTACTCTCCTAGGCTGGGTTTCTGCAGTGTATAAAAAGAGCTCTGTATATCTTACCTTTTCATTTTGGTGTTACAGTTATTTGCATCTTAGCAGGATGTGTCAAATAATATAGCAAAAAATTCTGTCAATTCACATTCAAATTTCAGTACAGTTAAGTAAATGAAACTGTAACTACTTTTCTTGACATTTTCAGAAACAGAAATTTATCTTACTTACTAAGACTTCATCTGTAGTAGTTTGAAATGTATTTGAAAAATGTTTTGATATAACAGTGCATTTATGTGATACGTTCTATACGAAAGGCAAAAGATTTTTAATCATGTCTGATGGCCAATTTTTGTGTAACATGGGAAATAGACATCTACTATCTGTGAGTAAAGTAATATATTTACACATAGCTTCATTCATTCCTCTAATATCGTGCTCCTTCTAAGTTTATAAAGCATTTGTATTGCAAGTTCCAATTGTGAGTCCTTTGTCCTTGGAATTTTGCATTTCAAATTAAGACTACTTGGAAATATTAAGTACATAGACTTTTATATAAAATACCCATAATATAATTGCAGATTCTTAAACAACTATATAAAAGGGGGAAAAAATTACTGTTGAGATCTCTAAGGACGGCAGTATCACCCTAATCTCCTGTTGATAGAAGAGGCACAAAGACATGAACCTTAGGGGTTTAAGATTTTAAATATTAAGAACTGTAAAAAATTTAACTCAGCCACATTTTATCTTAATTAAAATTTTTATATAAAACTTTTATTCAACTTAATGTACTATGATCAATGTAATAGTAGTTTCCTCAGTNTGCCGTGTATTACACGGTGCGAAAACCCAGAAGACGACTTTCTTCAATGTAATAGTAGTTTCCTTAGTATGTTGTTATGCCTTCTGAAGATGGTCATAACTGACCAAAACATGTAAAGGCATGTTTTGAGTCACACTGAACAGTGTTGTCATATCATTCTATAAAAGACACTTTCTTGATTTCTTCACTAGAAATGTTGCACACATAAATGAAATATAGCTGTAATTTTTTCTATATCTGTAAGTCCCATAACCATTCAGTTGAATAAAAAAAAAGTAAAAGTAAAGCTATCCCTGTAAGAGGCCATGAAGGCCCATAGGGTTGTTAGATGTTGAGGGTCCCACATTATCTAGACTCAAAGATGGCGGTAAGGTGATCAGCCTTATGCTCCGGCCGCGCTTTACTCCCCAGGAAAATTATTTAATTAATTCGTGGTACTCATTTCTGTTAGAGGCTTGAGTGAACCCCAGGCCCATAGTGCGGCTGGAAGGATTAGGTCAATTGAAAAAAATCCAATGGCTTCGTCAGGACTTGAACCATTCACGCAATATACTTTTCAAGTAAGTGATTATAAACAATCTTATATACGTTTTCGTTTATTATAGGGTCCAAATTATTAAAGATGGTAGAAAGAGGAAGATCATTATCAAAGACTGCAAAGTAACTGATGCCGGCATTTACACATGTACTTCAAATGCAGACAAAACAGAGTGTGAACTTATTATTCAATGTAAGTATTATAAATTTTTTTATAGAATTTTGTAAAAACTGAGCAAATATATAATGAGTATTCTTAATTTTCAGATCAGAACCGATTCAACAAGAAACTCAAAGACACAACAGTTTTGGAAAGAGAGAAGCTTGTTCTTGATGTGGAACTTCAGGATCAAACAGCTCCAGCTGCCTGGTACTTCAATGATGAGCCAATACAAGAATCTGAAAGGTAAAGTAGAATTGTATAACTTATTAATGTTTTGGATATTGATTTTGATGCTGCAGTGTTAGAGGGTGTGTAAATCTATCTATAAGAATGAGTTTATATTAGAAGAAAATGTTGTGGCATATAGACCCATTGCTAACCAGTGACTCGGTAAACAGCAGCTGTTGCTGGGTAATGCCTGCAACAATAGAAGAACGGTGTTTTGTATGTGGTCTGTGCTGTGACTGTTCCATGCAATGGTGTGGTAAACGCACCTCTACAGAAGTAGAGGAGCTGTGTTTTCCTCATGGTCAGTGCCAAGGAGTTATCTTGAAGACAACTGGCGCTACAGTTCAGTTGAGAGTTCAGTTGCGGGATATTCACTGGGCAGTAATGACGTGAGCACGGAAAGTTGAAGAATCTCCACTGTTATAAGCTGTTGCTAGGGAATGGCTGTTGAAGACACAGCAAAATGGAAAGAGGTTTAGTGGGCGCTGTGGTGATCTGTGAATTGAGGAGTTTAGCAGTGGTGCTGTAATTACTTGTAGTTCAGTGTGGTATATACATCCATTCACCAGTCCATACACCATCTGTAATCACACCCCAAAATACATGATAATATGAATACAAGAATCAGCCTCCCACTCTTCGTTGAGGGACTGGTATCATTGTGTCTAGTGTGAGGGTTAAATGGGTCTCTCATTACAGTGGCCTCTGGATATGGAATGTAGCTGTGAATATATTGAACAGGTAGTTATGGATAGCTAACAAATTGTGGTCTTCAAGGCTGGTGGCTGTGTATGGAACTGACAACTTCAAGCTGTAAAAAGAAGCATTTTACAATATGTTACACAGGGCATCAGACTTGGGTTTTTTTGGAATGACTTAAGAAAGATGAAGCAGATATGATTGTTAGAACTTGGAATTTCAGGAGACTACATAGGTCAGGTTAATTGAAAAAAATAATGAGAATGTAAGCCGGGAATAAATTATATTTAATGGGAGTACTGGAGGTCAGCTGGGACAAAGGTGACACTGAACTTGCAGATGATTTAACATTCTTCTATGGAAATGGGAATTCTAAATATAAACTAGAAAAAGGCTCTCTCATGTGCTTGGGGATCATATAAGCAGTAAAGAGATAGAGTTTCTTTGTGATAGAATGTTGCATGTGGGCCTGATTCTAAGGTGGTTTATGTGATATTATTGTTCTGAATATATATGCTCCAATTGAGAATGAAAGTAATGCAATTTTTTTTAAGACATTATCCATTTCCTTTTTTTATTTAAAACATTTCAGGGGCTGAATTCTATCTCTGCCATCAGGTAAAAATTTTATCTGAAGACAGAGGCAGAATCCAGTCTCTGAAATATTATTTAAATAAAAAAACAGGACAATGGATAATGCCCCAAAACACAATAATTGCATTAATATACCACTGTTACAAACTTTCAGATTTTATGTAATTAATGGCTGAAAGGAAACCCTTGATGAACTAAAGCACATATTCAGTTAGTGGATGTTAAGAAACAGAATCAGGTTGAAATCTCAAAAAGTTTTGCAGGTCCAGGAATCTTGGATGATGATAATATGGACGTCTATAAGTATCGGAAAGTATTAGAGCAAAGACTAAAATTTAAGCCGAAGGGAGTTTATATTATGGGTGAAATCAGTATGAACTATGGTCTAATGAAAATTCTCAACATTTGTATATCAAAAGTAGCAGGCTAAATTACAGTGGCTGCAGAATTCAGAGTAGAGTAGGGTGGAGTGGAGTAGAATAGAATAGAGTAGGATAGAGTAGAGTAGAGCAGAGTAGGTTAGGATAGGGTAGGGTAGGCTACAGTAAGATAGGGTAGGATGGAATGGAGTGGAGCAGAGTAGAATATAGTAGAGTAGGGTAGGGTAGGGTAGGGTAGGGTAAGGTAAGATAAGGTAAGGTGGAATGGAATGGAGCAAAGAAGACTGGGACAGAGCAGAGTAGAGTTTTTTGCATTCCATAGATTCTTCTTTGAGTTAAACTGAAAGATTCAGAATAAATCATAATGCAAGTACAGAAATTTATTTCACATGTAGATGTCCTTGAAGCTGAAGAATTTTTGAAATGAGTACAAAGAAAAATCTTACTTCACATATACACATAAAGATTTAAACATTTCAATAGTGGTAAAGTCATCTGCAAATTAGAAGGAATCAATTAAAATGTAAGGTTTTAGTGCAGACCTTAACAATTTTGTATCATGATTTAAGCTTTTAATCATCAATGTAAGATTACTGAATAATTTGATACCTGTATAGTACACTCCTCCGTTCTATTTAACGAGATGACTATTTGGTATATAAAGGGAACATATATGTCTTGTGTATTACATTGTGTACATCTGTATTTCTTTGAAAATATTCCAAGTTTTCCACCACAAATAATAGTAAATAGAATGTGTATTCGCTTTCAAGTGGCAGTATAATAAACTTCTGGAAACGTTTTAGAAAGAGACTGCTTTTAACACCTACCAATATTCTAATTATTTTCTTGTTTATGAACTAATTTATTCCTGTCTATTGAGTTTTCCCAGAAGATTAACCCATATGTTAGTACAGAGTGGAAGTAAAATAAGTAAACCAAGTTTAAAGTACCTGTTTTCTGGGTGGTGTGACCCTCCACATGGAAAAGCATGCAGAGCTTAGTTTGGGAATAGTATGAGGACTATTCAGAAAGTAACCTCCAGTAAACTGGTCCCTTGTTGCATGAATTCCACCAACAGCAGTCCTTTCCTGTCCCAGAAAACAGTTCCCATCCATTAACTTGCTGACTGACAACATTTGAACTCTTTCAGCTTGTTTAGTGAATGTGTGCTGCACCACTTTGACCGCTCTTCAGTTTTAACATTCACAAATGAAACCTACGTTTCATCACCTATTTACTCGTACAGTGTGGTTAAGAAATTCATTGCCGTGTTTGTGGTATCGCTCAAGAAAATCAAAGTTGAAGCCATTTTCAGCTCTTTATGTGCACCCATGAGAATTTCTTGAACCTACCTTGCACAAAACTTATGACAGCCGAGCCTCACTGTGATAATCTCGTAGACAGCAGTGCGTGAAATTTTCGGAAATTCACGCAAAAGTTCTGGAATTGTGAAGTGCCATCTTTAACTATGAGCAAAATCATTAGTCAGTACAGTTGGCTGGCCACTTTGCATTTCATTGTGAACATTCCTTCGCCCATCTTTGGACATTCTGCACTGTTGTCTTACAGTTCCTTCACTCATTACTTGTTGACTGTAAACCACTGTGCATAATTCACGATGGATTTTCCCAGTGAATTTCGCATCTATTGGGACTATCAATTGCAGGACACATAACTCACTCAGCAGAGACAGGAATAAACACTAGGTGACCAGTTATGTGATGGTTTACAGGACAATGAAACTTGTGAGACCACCTCACATGTGTGAGCTCTCCTCTCCTCCTACATTAGTTACCTCAAGTAAATGGATGTTACTTTCCGAATAGCCCTCCTGTTTTCAATGTGTTTCTTCCTGTGAGAGTTATTGCTAATTTGTAGGCCAAGAATTTTTTCTTCTACTTCCTCAATTAATTTATTGTCAAAACCTATATTTAAACCAAGGTATTCATGATATTTTGGAAATACTTCTGTCATAACCAAAGAGAATGGGTTTGGAGAGAGAGTTAATACAGTTGCAGGCAAGCCATTGATGTTGTCATATGAAGAAGTAACTATTATAGATGGGGTTTGGATTGGAGAGTGGATTTATTGACCACTTTAACTCACTACTTGTGATGTTGTTTCCTTGTTTGTTTTGTGATAATGGGTCTGAATGCTATAATATTTTCAAGTGTCAAATGACTATAGACTCGGTTTGGATTGGTAATCGGATTTATTTGATTCTTAAAACTCGTAATTATAGGTAATTGTAGCCCTATCTCTAATTCCCACACTCTACAGTTCACTATAGCATGCACTAGTCCTTCTTCATTGGTGGTTCCCTGTAGCGCTCCCAAAGCCGTAAGTTCCTTGGCTTCCATGTCCTATGACTTCTATCATCATTGGCTGGCATCTGTCTCACAACACAACTATACGTTGCCTGGTTATAGCCTTCTAACAAAGGGCTGTTTCTCATGTCCTTGTGGCTCAAGAACAGTAGGGAATTGCAGATATCCATGAAACTTATTAGGCCAATTAAAATGTGTTTAAATTATAGTGAAGTCCAGATACACAAATATTTATTTGATAAAATTTTATTGAGAATGATCTGAAAAATGGAAATTCATTATTGCCATTGCTTAACTGCTACTTTACTGTAGAATATGCCATTAGAAAGGTTCAAGAAAACCAGAAGGGATTGTAATTGGATGGGACACATCACCTTCTGGCCTATGTTGATGTTATTATTTGGTTCAAATCATAAATAATGTGAAGGTAACACATAAATTCAATTAGATGCTAGTAAGGAGGTTCATCTAGAACTAATCATACAGAAAATTAAATGTAAGTTTATGCCTCAATAGTAAAATACAGCATAAAATCATAATATAGAGGAATGTAATGAATACTTAAAAATGTGGCGAAGTCAAAATATTTGGAAATTATGGAAACAAATTAAAATTGCATTCATGGAGAAGTTAGGACCAGGTTAAATTTTGGATGTGGCTATTACAATTCTGAATTTTTATCTTCCTGTCTCAATCACTCACTCATGGAGCTGAGCCCTTCTTGAGAAGCCGCCAATTTTGCAGCTACTCAGGAACTTCCCAGAATATAATGGAATTTTTCCTTGTTTGGTGCAGCAATTAATGATACATTGAAGCTAGGAATGTGAAGTTTGGTATGGAGATAGTCATAAATATGTCTATATATTCTTCAAGAATCATTTTTTATATGTTAGCAGTTACACACATGGGATGATGCCAATCTTTAAATTATATGTGAGAAATTTAATGCAGTTTCGTTATGTAACAGTGAACATTATCCTCAGAAATAGATCAGTAAATTTCAGAATCATTAATAATAACTGTTGCTAGCCTCATAACATATTCTGAAACTCTGGGAAGAAAATATATATCATATTTTCTTTGTAGAACTTCCTGTTTATAAAGTGAGTGTCTTCATATTTGTTTTGACCTTTATTTCTTTCTTCAGAGTTGAGATCAAGAACCTTGGAGGTGGCAAACACCAGTTAATATTCAAGAAAGCAGAGTTAAGTGACACTGGGGAAATCAAGTGTGAATCAGGAAAGCTGTCTTCTGCATGCCAAGTTGTTGTAAAGAAGGGTGAAGAGAAGCCTGTAATAAATTTCCAAGATCGTGTTGAGGGACCAGTTAGTAAACCAATTGTATTTGAAGTACCCTATAGTGGTAAGTTTCTCATTTATATTAGTAACAAAAATGGAAGTTACTAGCCAGTTTTAACATATTGTTGTAAATGAAGATTTACAAAATTTAATTTAATTTTATAATAAAGGTTAAACATACATAATAATTCTTTCTACACAAAATATTTCAGAAATATCAGTTTAAAAATTTCTGTTTTATTAAGTGTGTTTTGATTCTCTCTTACAGTTGGTGGATCAAAGCAATCGCCTGTAGAAGCCAAGTTGATCAAAGATGGGAAAGTACTGCCTCTTAAGGATGTGGAAGTTATTGTTGCAGATGATAAGGCGACATTTAAATTTAAGAAGCCTGCTCGAAATCTGTCTGGCATATATCAGCTAAAAATTTCAAATGCACAAGGAGAAGATACAAAGAATATTAATATAAATATGCAAGGTAATACTGATCTTTTCATTACAGTTTATTGACACATGAACATAAATTTATCAACACCTATTTTCATCATATTGTTCTAGCAGCATAATGAATTCTTATTTTGAGAAAGAGAATATTACATTTTAAAATTTTTAGCTTCTTTAATACAGGAAATTGTATATCACTTTCTGTTCAAGCTGGTATTGTTATGAAGATTTTTAATTCATGTTGAAATGTTATTTGTAGAACTGTCTCTGTGCAGTGCAGTTTAATTACCTTCACGTAGAAGTTGAAATACTTGATATGAATCTAAAGACAAATTTCAATTGGCTGTGTGCAGGAGATATTAATCAAATTTCTCAGTCTACATAAATTATATTTTAATTCACATTGTATTAGTTGTTCAAAATTTATGCAGGAAATCCAGAGATATTAAAATACTTCTCACTCTTATATGAATTTCAGAATTAAGGAAAGTGTTCTGTTTTATTAGTGGGTACTGAAGGTTTATGAATATTATTAAGTCATACTGAGGACTCAGATCAGACTCTGTGAGTTCAAAGTCTGAAGCAGAATAATCATTGCACCTTGGTGGCCCATGAATATTTAGAGATCTGAACTGAATCTCTTTTATTCCAAACATTTAATGGTAAAATATCAGAATCACTACCATCCTCTAAATAACTATAACCATACTACATTTCTGTGCAGGTAACAACTGAATAAAGCCAATGTTATGTCTGAATTTATAATTGTATAACATTACATTTTCCATGCAGTAGAAGTTGAAACTATATAGTTCAATTTTGTTCAATCTATTTATGTTCCATAACTCCAGATACAGGTAGACAGCATAGGATATGGTGACTGCCTAAAGCAGTTAGCTGAAATTTTTTTGAAATAATGCTTCCCAAATGTTCCATGTTGTGCTTTTTATGTACATTTTGAAATAAGTGCTGATTGTATAAAATTTACTGCGGTATTTTTGGACCTCTTAGCAATTTGTTGATTATATTGTATTATGACATGACATCTTAAGATCTTACAGATTTGGTGTGAAGAATATGTCACAGGTGAGGAAGGAAAGTTTGTAATGTTAACTTACACATTAAAATCACAAACACAAAACTACTGCAGACATGCAAAGTAATGCATGAAGAGTTAGTGTTGTGTTTATATATCCTATGGCCTACTACTTCTAAAATGTGTGATTAATTTTTCATAGATGTCCCATCTCCACCACTGGACATCAATGTAACGGATGTATTCCAGACATCGTGTGTTGTCCACTGGAAGCATTCTAAAGATGATGGGGGTCTGCCTATCTTACATTATGTAGTTGAACGCCTGGACATGAGTAAAAAAGGTCTGTTTAAATCCTGTAGTCATGATTTGTGCATTAAATGTAGGTTATGTAGGGTATAAACTGAAACATCCAAAGCAATGCTTGTCATTCACTAGAAGTTGGTATGCTTTCTCAGAACTTAGGGTATGTGGTTTTAATTCTATTACCATACTTTCCTCAAATTTCCATAAAGCATGTGTGGTGATAATGATATTCTTTAATTAGAAATCTAAGTTATTAGTAGTTAAAAGACTGGAGTTTATATTCCATACATTGTGTCAGCTGGACTTGGTGAACTGACAATTTAAGTATATTTCTTGAGCTTCTAAGGATTTTGTAATTTTCTATAATACTAAGTACAACGATTAAATGCCATTAAAGTATAAATGTTTTAAGACCATTGTGACACTATATACAAAATTATTTATTTGATTTTCTTTATTATTTGCATTCAGAGACATTTCTGAGTGGGATAAATTTAATACTCACTGTTTTATATCATTGGATGGAATATCCCTTGATGGGGTTTTAAGCTTAAATTACAAAAACCATTTCCACAGAAAAGAGTGGTAATATCTCAGGTGATAAACATTCTTTTTCTTTACACTAGGTGGATGGGACAATATAGCACAGATTCCTCCAAATGAGCCCACAAAATTCAAATGTGAGGATCTGACTCCAAAGAGAGAATACAAATTCCGGATCAGGGCGGTCAATAAAATTGGATCATCTGAACCAGTACTATTTGCTAAGACTGTTCTTGCTAAGGATCCATGGGGTAAGTTTTGATAACATTTTTATAAATATGCAGTGTAAGAATGGCCCTGAGCCACATATGGAATAAATAAGAATTTTTGAAATATTTGCTAAATGATATACATGAATATATATGTAGTTATTTGAGTTTGTCATTCTTTCACATTACAGCTTGCTACAAATTAATTTGGCTTTTATGATAAAAGAATGATCATGATTCTTTTAATAACAATATTGTGACATGTTGCGAAATCTGAGCCCCCCCCCACACCAGCAGTGACGCGGTGGGTGAGTCAGCGCTCCCCTCCCACCCCTCAGCAGTAACGTAACGCTCGCGGTAATAGGCGAGTAATCACCCCGCAATGCGCAACGCGCGGTGACGTCACGAGCGGAGCCGAAGATAGCCGAGCCCCGTAACCTGGCAACTACGCAATGCTAATCAACAGCGGTGACGTCACGCTAGCAACAGCGTCCTATGCTATACGCCACGTCACACTAGCAACAAGGGTGCCTATTACGTGGCCGTATTGTCCGATCGAGGCTACATAGGGAGCAGCGAAGGCTATTCACAGTTCAGTTGAAACATAGCAGCCTGCGAGTGAGCGATAACTAAGAAGTCAGCGAGCGGAAGACGTATTGTGTGCTTTCAAGACATAGTGAGTGCTGTAGTACAGTTGTACTCGGAGTGTGTATTTCAGGGAGACTTGTATAGCTCCCACGTTATTAGTACGTGAAGACAAGTGAAGATCGTGTTAAGAGACTTTGTTGTAGGGTTTGTAAAGTGTGGAAACCCGTAATATTGTGATCATTAATTATAGCCGTTAGTTGTAGATTGTTCAATAAACCAGTTAACGATCTCTACGGCGTATTCAGTAACGTAAACACGTTACACTGGTGTCAGAAGTGGGAT